GCCCCGCCTCCCCCACCTCCTCCCCCCGCAATGGCAGCGGCTGTCGTTGCCATGACAATGACCGCATTCTGAGGCAGCGCCACCGTCGTCAGGTTGCCGCGGCGGTCTCCGTAGAAGCCGTTACCATGGTTACTCACGGTGATGGCGGCTCTGTGGGGCTGAGGGGGGGAGGAGGCCGAACTGTGGACAGACAGGTGAGAGGCAGACAGGTGAGAGGCAGACAGGTGAAAGACAGACAGGTGAGAGGCAGACGGGCAGAATGACAGGCAGACAGATCTATTTTATGCTAACTAAGGCTACTTGTCTAGGCTAATCCTGCGGCTAACGTTACTTGTGGAGGTGAATGTAGAGACTAGCATGATCTGTTTTCAGCTAATGTAGCAGCTAATGCTCCTGTTTTTGACATTTTGGAGCTGAGCCCTACAGACAGGCCGACAGGTGAGCTCACCTGGAGGACGGGGACGAGGCCGGGCTGCTCTGAGCCTGCAGGTGAGGCAGCTTGGCGTCTCCTCCTCCCCGCCCTGCCTCCCCCAGCTCAGAGGACAGCGGGGACGGAGTCGGCCGGCAGGAGGACGGCGGCAGTTTGGGGGAGATGATGCGGTGCTTGGTGCTGTTACAGCGGTGGGGAATGTTCACTCCTGAAGACACTGGAGACACAGCACAGGGGTCAGAGTGATGTCACAGCGAGCTCACAGTGATGTCACGGCGCCGCCTTACCCTGGACGGTGTTACAGAGGCAGGTGTGTGTCCGCGGCTGTGGTTTGGTTCTCTGTCGGTCCAGGATGTGCTGAACCAGCTCCTCAATGCTGAAGTCCCCCGAGCCCACCGAGCACTTCATACTGTGGACTGGAGGCAGTACAAGTACACGTTAGCACTCCAGAGTACACGCTGTATTGCAGTGTTCCTGCCTCTGTCAGCATGTAGTACTGGAGGAGCAGCGCAGTGTGTTGCAGTGTGTGTTTCCTACACATGGGCTTCAGCTGGCTCAGCAGGTCGTCTCGGCTCCACCTCACACTGTCATGGCGGTCGGACACGGCGCACAGCAGCGGACTGCATTTCCCAGAATCCTCCAGGGACGGCACGTTCAGGTAGTGGACCAGCACGATGTCGGGGTTCTGTCAGAGACACAGATCTGTGAGCTGCAGCTCAGGTTCTGGTTCTGGTTCTGGTGGTGTGCTGATGTCACGTTACATGACAAAACATTCCAGCACAGACTGGACCATCTGGACTAAGTGGCTCTGAGCTCTGGGAATAACAACTGGAAGGAACATGAACTATGAACAGGAAGTAGCTCCTGACTGACATCTGGAATCATCACAGAGTAATGAGTAGTGGGCCCCCTGTAGGAGACCGACATGACTGCAGGTACTGGACGGAACCAGCAGCAGCCTGCTGTGGCACTGTGTGGTGATGAGTTGTGTTGTGTTGTGTTGT